GCTCGTCCTGCGGGGTGAGGTGAGGCGAGGCAGGGCAGGGGGTGCCCTTGTCACAGGGCAAGGTGAGGCGGGGGCCGGTGCGGCTGCTGCCTGACACCATCGGCCCCTGCACACAAAGGCCAGCGAGCGCATGGGTGCTGGGATGCATCCGGCCATGTGGGACCTCGGCGAGTTAGCGGACGGCTGGTTGAAGAGGGACGGTTGCCATCTCCGGGGCATGGCACGCGTGTCCACAGAGAGGGCTCTGAGTGCCGCCTCTGGCACGCGTGCCATAGGTTCGCCACCACTGTCTTATGCTGTGCCACGCCTTTGTGAAGTGGTGGTTTTGTTTCTCCAATGCACAAATCTGTACATTGGTGATGGTTTCACCAATTCTCTTTTGTGAACGATCCGAATTTCAGAGAGATGGCGGGGTCAAACTCATGCTGCAGAATTAGCTATGGCTCATTAAAACTGGCAAGATTCACTGTCTCATGGACATTGCATTAAATGCCACACAGGTCATGCTGTTTATTACTTTTTCCTTCCATCCTGTGCCCATGTGCTTAGTTGCCAACAGACAACGATCAAACAGCCAGCTCTAATCCATTAACCTTGTGCCGGCAGATAGAAATTCTTATTTTTTTATTAGCATTATCCCATTATTTCCCCAACTCTGCTTTAAGATGCCACTGTACTTGTGGAGAAAAAAAAACCCAATTCCCTCACAACCTTAACCTCTTAAAAATGCACATTTAGCACTATGATATTCATTTTGGCACAGAGCTAACTTCCCAAGCCAAAAAGATATCCAATTTTGTACGTGGGTGTATTTTTTTTTAAAAAAAATCAACACTCTGGGGGTCATGAATAAAAGCAGAATGAGTTGAAGGGGATATTTTAATGGGAAACATATGCTGGGAGATATCAAAAATCCCAGATCAGCTTTTTTTTCTCTACCTGATGCATCCCAGGTGTGCTGCTGTATCACTTCCATCTAGCAAAATAGATTTATATTGGCTACAGAGTCCCACATACCACAATTAGAGCCGGTTGCCCTGAAGATTACACGTCTCAAATAGGGGTTTGTTTTTTTTCCCTCCCACTAAACTGAGATCAGGCAAATTATTCTGACTTTTTAAAAACTCTAAACATCTAATTACAGGTAGCCCTTCACTTATGAATATAATGGAACCTATCAAATACGGACGTAAGTCCTGATGGTCATAAAGCGGGTCATCATGCCCCATCTGACCTTTTTTTTTTTTTTTTTGCAATAATCATTAAGCAAGCCCATTGTTCTCTATGGGGTGAAGTAAACAATGGTTTTGAGGAAAAATATCGCAAACTGTAGTTACGTTAACTGCAAGATACTGCAAACAACAACAATCAATGTAGGCTGGTTTTGAGTGACCGAAACGTGGTCATGGGACCTTGGGGGGAGAGGCGGCCATCAAAACATTGGAACTGGGTCGTAAGTACCTTTTGTAGATTTGAACAGTCACTGAGCGACCAGTCGTAAATTGAGGAGTACTTGTAGCAAATTACTGATTATTAGCACAGAACGGGTTTTCTTTTTAACCATTAGAGGTGAAATTTTGGCAAACCAAGCGGTACGTTGGTACTCAACTGCTTTGAAACTCATCAAATCTGGGATTCAAGGCATTTTAACGTGAACATTTCGTCCCGGTACTCATCGTTTGTTTGATACTCAATGCACAAACTAGAACTTGTGGGTGTTGGCTGCCTTGTGACTCATTACATTATTCCTTTTGGGAAAAATTGGTTTAGTATTCAGTATTTTTTTGTACCGAAATATTAAGAAAACCAAGATCATGGCATCCGGCCTTCTCAATTCCTGGCAAATAGATGGGGAAGAAATGGAGGCAGTGACATATTTCATCTTCCTGGGCTCCAAGATCGCCGCAGATGGGGACTGCAGCCAAGAAATTAGAAGATGCTTGCTCCTGGGGAGGAAAGCTATGGCAAATCTAGACAGCCTACTAAAAAGCAGAGACGTCACCCTGCCAACAAAAGTACGTATAGTCAAGGCCGTGGTTTTCCCAGTTGCAATGTATGGCTGTGAACGTTGGACCATAAGAAAGGCTGAGCACCAAAGAATTGAGGCCTTTGAACTATGGTGATGGAGAAGACTCCTGCGAGTCCAAGGCGATCAAACCGGTCAGTCCTAGAAGAGATCAACCCTGACTGCTCTTTAGAAGGCCAGATCCTGAAGTTGAAACTCAAGTACTTTGGCCACCTAATGAGAAGGAAGGACTCCCTGGAGAAGAGCCTAATGCTGGGAAAGATCGAGGGCAATAGAAGAAGGGGACGACAGAGAATGAGGTGGCTGGATGGATTCACTGAAGCAGTAGGCGTGAGCTTAAATGGACTCCAGAAGATGGCAGAGGACAGGAAGGCCTGGAGGAACGTTGTCCATGGGGTCGTGATGGGTCAGACACGACTTCGCAACTAACAACAACAACCACTGTATCTACATCTTTAGTCAACCGATTTACATTAAGCAATCAGCAAGGGCTTTGGTGACAATTAGGAATATTAAAGAATTCAGTTCACATGTTCTGAAGAATCCGATTGAGACTAACAACCTCCTTAGAGGACCGCTGCCCGTTTTCAGTACATACCGGTCGTGGCAAAGACAGGTTCGCTCCGTACCAATGATAGAGGGCTCTCCACACCGGTTCTGGGACAATTTCATAATTTTTCCCTTGGATTAATTGGGGTGATGGTTTTAATCGCCCACCTTCCAGAGTCAATGATGGAGCCTTCCAAAAAAGAAAAAGAAAAAGAAAAAAAATCAGATTCTGAGTTTCTTTTTTATCAAATTTCTTGAAAGATTACAAATCCTGAACCAAATAAAGAATTAATGCAGATTAATATAATAGGCCGAGCAACATTAGAGAGACCATCCCATTTCACAAAAAAAGACCTGGTCATTGAAAGGGTTTGGATTATTTGCATGCTTGCTCATCATAGTCATTCTGTGGTTTCTTCTGGCAATGAACCCCTTTTTTCTAACCCTGGAGATGAAAGCATTAGCAAGAGTCTGAGCATTTGGAAATGGTCACCCTGATGACTCTTTTTTCCCTTCTTCCTCCCATCTCTTTTTATCAATTATTACGACTCCTGATTGCAAACCTATTTCACTTGCTTAGCCTTTGGCTAAAGAGCAGAGTTTAAATTAATTAAATAAGCCAAAAATAAGTTTTGCAAACATCTTAAGCACAACCTGATTAGGGCAGAACTCAGCTGCCCCAATTTAAATGGTACCTCATAGTTAGTTCTCATCGCTCCTTTCACACTGACTACTGATTCAGTTCCAAGCCCTTTTCATGGAGGTGTTGTATATTTTTAAAGCTCAGAATACTTGAAAAAAAGAGTACTTTTCTTATTCCAGTCCACCCCTTGCCTTGAAACAGGAGCTGAAAAAGTGCAGCCTGCTTATAAAGCCAACAGTCAGGGTTGCTGGAAACTGTTATAACACAGAATACCCATCACTGTTTAAGATCCTCCACAGGGTCAGTTTTTCCAAGTATCTTCCTTATGGAATAGCAGAATGGAGTGAGAAGGAGGGCTTTGGAATGCTGTTCTCCAGTATCAAATTACCATCTCCATACTGGCAGTTTAAGACATTATTTTTCAGTCAGATATTTTAATCTCATTATTTCTGATTCAATATATTGCTAAAACTCTTGTTGTCGTGACCTTTACCTGGGCAATCTTTTGAATGAAGATATCTTACATGAGCTAACTTACAGAAGGTGTCCAAAATCTGGGACCTATGATTCCCGAGACAGTGAAATTTGGGGAAGTTGTGATGGCTTCAGTACTACTGGCTGTTGCTGTATGGCTGGGCTGTTGTTGCTGTCATGTGATCTTTATTTTCAATATTCGGTGACAGTTTCCCAGCCAGTCTAGCAATCCCTTGCTCCTTCCTCCACCCAGCAGCAGCCACTAACCTGCCAGAGAGGGCAGGGCAGGGCAAGGCAGGACAAGACAGGGCAGGGCAGGATTGTGTCTAAATTTTGATCACGTTACCATGGGGATGCTACAAATGTGAAAAATGGTCATAAATCAGGTTTTTCAATGCTGTTGTAACTTTGAACAGTCACTAAACAAATGGTTGCAAGTCGAGGACTATCTGTGCAGGTAGTCCTCGACTTACAACATTTCATGTAATGACCATTCAAAATTACAAGGGTGCTGAAAAATGTGATTTATGACCATTTTTCACAGTTATGTTGCAGCATCCCCATGATCATGTGATCAAAATTCAGACACTAGGCAACTGACTCATATTTATGACGGTTGCCGTGTCCCGGAGTCATGAGATCACCTTTTCGGACCTTCTGACAACCAAAATCAATTTGGGAAGCCATATTCACTTAACAACCGTGTTACTAACTTATCAACTGCAGGGATTCACGTAATAACTGTGGCAAGAAAACTCGTAAAATGGGGCAAAACTCACTTAATGAACGTCTCACTTAACAACAGAAAAATTTGGGTTCAATTGTGGTCATAATTTGAGGACTCCCTGTACTGTTTTTACTTATAAGAGGCTTACCTTCACGGGCTCTTGCGTTACAAGTGGCTGATTATCAATTGCTCCAGGCCGCTGTGGATTCAGCAACTGCAGTAAGATATTCCCATTAGATGCAAGGAGGCACTGATTGTTGTTGTCTGAAGAATTAAGTTGTCGAGCGAAACATGTCTCGGCATTGGGAGTGGTGGCCGAAAGGATATCTGGAAGGTAAATGAGGATGAAACAAAAGTAAGCATGAAGTGTCAAGTTTTGAAGCAAGGTTTTTTTTTTCTTGCTGCAACGGTTATTGCTTCTCAGCTTGCCAACGAACTCGGGGGCGGAGGGAATCGGATTGGAATGCAGACTTCAAAGATTAAGGAAGCGGACCATGGGAACCAAGGACAATTACCAGATGTCTGGCCAGACCCAGAGATAATTTCTCATAACAATATTGCTGCATCTAACTGGGCATCGTGACCTGATCCAGAGAGAGAGGAGAGAGAATTCTATGCTTTCACTATGTAGGGCTTGGGTGGGATTTTGCCAGAGCTGGTTTTGCTTTTGTAAGTGCCGAAATGATGTACTCAATAAAGTTTTACCTTAAGAGATCAGAATGTCTCGAAGGTGTTCGCTTGGTTGGGTTCGTCAGTCGGAACCGTGCCGGGAAGTGTGCAAAGTTACAGGGGAATATCAGAAAGGAGCAAACCAGTGGCTCTGAAAGTATGACTGGATTATAACTCCCCTCAAATCTCACCATCTGTATGCTGACTTGAAAATGCTATGTGTTATTACTGCCTTTGAACTATGGTGCTGGAGAAGACTCCTGCGAGTCCCCTGGACTGCAAGGCGATCAAACCGGTCAGTCCTAGAGGAGATCAACCCTGACTGCTCTTTAGAAGGCCAGATCCTGAAGTTGAAACTCAAGTACTTTGGCCACCTAATGAGAAGGAAGGACTCCCTGGAGAAGAGCCTAATGCTGGGAAAGATGGAGGGCAATAGAAGAAGGGGACGACAGAGAATGAGGTGGCTGGATGGAGTCACTGAAGCAGTAGGAGTGAGCTTAAATGGACTCCAGAAGATGGTAGAGGACAGGAAGGCCTGGAGGAACCTTGTCCATGGGGTCGCAATGGGTCAGACACGACTTCACAACTAACAACAACATTACGGTGTTTTCCCCAAAATAAGATCCAACCGGAAAATAAGCCGTAGCATGATTTTTCAGAACGCTTGAAATATAAGCCCCACCCAAAAAAAATAAACTCCGGTTAAGATCGTCAGCCAGACAGACGCATTTAGTACCGTATTTCCCCGAAAATAAGACCTAACCGGAAAATAAGCCCTAATGCATCTTTTGGCGCAAAAATTAATATAAGACCCGGTCTTATTTTTAGGAAAACACTTAGTTCAATAACATCTGGAAAGCCGCTTTTTATGAGCCTCTTATAACAGGATCTTGGCACCTCCTTCATTTTCTCAGGAGGCCATACAGGTGGTCCTCAACTTACAACAGATCGTTTAGTGACCGCTCAAAGTTACAACGGCACTGAAAAAAGTGACTTATGACTATTCTTCACACTTACAACTGTTGCAGCACCTGATCAAAATTCAGACGCTCAGCAACTGACTCATATTTATGACGGTTGCAGGGTCCCAGGGTCATATGATTGGCTTCTAACAAGCAAAGTCAAGTTGGGGAAGCCAGATTCACTTAACAAACATGTCACTCATTTAACAACTATAGCGATTCATTTAACAACTGTGGCAAGCAAGGTCGTAAAATGGGATAAAATTCACTTAACAAATACGTCGCTTAGCAAAATAAAATTTTGGGCTCAATTGTGGTTGTAAGTCAAGGACTGCCTGTATCCTTTTCCTATGGTTTCACACAGCCACATAATGCTTCTGTTTGAAAAAGGGCATCTGATCTTTCATAAATTTAGATAAAACCTCTTACCTGGTTTGATCATTTTTACACATTTAGTCTACCTTCAAAGCTCTTTACAAATAAAATGGTCTGAGGGTGGAGGTTCGTTCTCCGAGCTTGTGGGTTGGTTTCTGAACGTTTCGTTACCAGGCTAGGTAATATCTTCAGCGTAGTTTAGCGGATGTCATCATAGACCCTCACTCAACACAACCACACCTGAAGCCCTTATAAACAGAAGAACACTCACACTGACACCCCCTAAGCTCCGCTGAAGATGTTACCTAGCCTGGTAACGAAACGTTCAGAAACCAACCCGCAAGAAGCTTGGAGAACGAACCTTCACCCTCACCCTATACCTGAGCTACAGATATTCACCACTATTGCAAATAAAACAGTTTGTCAGGCTGTTGTTGCTTTGGGGGTTAATGCTTACTGCTGTTAGTTGTCTCCGATGCTTCTGATGCGCTCGAAATATTATCTGAAAACTTTTCTTCTGTGGCACTGATGTTATTCGAAGCAGCCGTTCGGTCGTCTCCCTGCTCTGACGTAGGTGTTCCAGGACTCAGGAGAGAGGTCTTACCTCCATTTGAGACAGACAAAGGCTCTATCAGAACAGGGGGAGCATCCTAAATTGGAGAAGAAAGTCAGAACTTAATTGTGGGGGGGGGGGGCGAGATGGTAGCACAGAAAGGCCCAAGTACTTCCGATGGTCATTTTCTTGGCCTGGAAGTCTGTGTATGTGCTTGTCCGTTACAATGGCACCTCAGTACCTGTTGGTAATTCGTTCCGGAAGACACAACGAATACTAAAACCGACAAGTACCCAGGAAACCACGTGACTTACCACGTGACCCGCCATTTTGGCTGGAAGAAAACAGTGAGTCATGAGGCAGCGGACGTCAGCAAGTCAACGACCAAGAGAAAGAAGAAAGAAGAATGCCAGGGCAAAATTTCTGCTTCAGAACATGTGACATACTGAATTTGACACGTTTTTGAAGCAGTCGAGTGCCGAAGTATGACTGCATGCAAATTCCATCATGGTTTACAAATATAAGCTTGCCAAAGACCTTCAGTTTTCATTGGTCGAGGGGGACGAGAAGAGAGCAGATGTCCCAAAAGTACTTTTTCCAAAAGGCAACTGGACTTCCTTGATTTTTTTTTTCTTTGAAAATGTTTCACTTCTCATCCAAGAAACTTCTAGAAGATTCTTGATGAGAAGCTGGGGGATTCTGGGAGTTGAAGTCCACTCATCTTCAGGATTCCAAGGTTGGGAAACACTGTCCTAAAGGGTGAGGGAACTTCAACTGCCATCTGATTCTCGTGCAAGGACATTGGCACATTATTTATTTATTGGCACATTATTATTTCTTGATTCAGCCATTCTCTCTTCCAAGTCCAGCACGTGACTTACGTATTTGACGTATTCTTTCCACTGCTGCCACCACTGCATTGCGATGAGAAACCAGTTGTGACTTTGTTGAAGGCCGTGCCGACTTTCACGTTCTAGCCAGCCTCTATGCCAAGAAAACAAAGAAAGAGATCAATGGTGCAATACTTAGCAACGCTTGTGCGTCACATCTACACTGGTGTTTCTCGACCTTGGCGACATTAAGATGGGTGGACTTCAACTCCCAGAATTGAGCCAGCCTGGGGGAATTCATTCCTAGCTGGCTGGGGGGGGGGAATTCTGGGAGTTGAAATCCACCCATCTTAAAGCTGCCAAGATTAAGAAACAGTCTAGGGCAGGGGTCTTCAAACTTGGCCCTTTTATGACTTGTGGATTTCAACTCCCAGAATTCCTAGTTTGTATGTTGAGTACCAAACAAATGATGAGTACTGGGACAAAATTTTCATGTCAAAATGCGTTGAGTAACAAATTTGATGAGTTTCACAGCAGCTGAGTACCGAGGTACCACTGTACGCATAGACATTGGACAAAATTCGGTGGGCTAAATTCCATTGCATCAAAACTATTATCAAGAATCACAGGACTGTATCAATATAATTTGGGGATAAAGGAGGGAATGTAAGCAGAAGAAAACGGAATGCATAGCGTACAGACAATGCCAATTATGTTGTTCACAGTGGCCATTTGCAAGACAGTCAGTCACTGGGGAGATCACAAAGGCATCCGGCATTGACAAGATAATTAACATATATAGCCAGATAAGAATCTCATTCCTGGTTCAGGAACTAGTAATCTAGCTGACTTTCTAGACAATTGTGCTCTTTTAATTACAATAGGTTGGTGGCTGGAATAGAGGCCAAGGTTTTTATCACCTATCTTACTCATTACCTCAGTAGTGCTAGAATGCCATTGTTATATCCTTTAACAACTAATTATTGAAAGTGTACCTTGACAATAGAATTAATTCTAGCTGCCCTCTGTGTGTTACATTTCAATTCTGACCTCACTGTTCCCAATCCCCATTTATCATTCTCTCTNTGGTGGCTGGAATAGAGGCCAAGGTTTTTATCACCTATCTTACTCATTACCTCAGTAGTGCTAGAATGCCATTGTTATATCCTTTAACAACTAATTATTGAAAGTGTACCTTGACAATAGAATTAATTCTAGCTGCCCTCTGTGTGTTACATTTCAATTCTGACCTCACTGTTCCCAATCCCCATTTATCATTCTCTCTCTGTGTGTGTGTGTGTGTGTGTATGAGAGAGAGAGAGAGAGAGAGAGACAGACAGACAGACAGACAGACAGACAGACAGACAGACAGACAAGGAATCTCAAAGCTATTTTGTTCCATGACATCTCCTGATATCTCCACTTGGCTTTTAGAGAAGACATTCAGTGTTTCATATATACAGGTAGTCCTCAATTTGCAACCAAATGTTTAGCAACCATTAGAAGCTATACCAGCACTGAAAAAAGTGACTTGCAATTTGGACGCTTGGCAACAGGCATATATAATGGGTGAAGCAAGCAAGGCTGCGTGACACAGGTGGGTGAGACTAGGATTTTATTATTGGCTGGGATTGAGGATTTGCTTGTTTGTGCTAAGCCAGCTTTCAGAGCTTCAAACAGAGTTTATATTTTTCTCATCACAAAATGGCAAAACCCATGCTTCTCCTGCTCAGTAAAGGCTTTTGCTGGAGCTGCCCACAAAGATTTTATGGGTGGCAAAGTAAGGATAAATAAGGGAACACCTGTTTGCCTGTGTAACAAACTCAGTTTTCTGCAGTTTGGTTAGGTCATATAGGAACGATACAGGCAGTCCTCGACTTACACTCACAATGGAGCCCAGAATGTCTGATGCTAAGCAAGAAAACTGCTAAATGGCTTGTCTCATTTTACAACCTTTTTGCCACAGTGGTTAAGTGAACCGCTGCACTTGTTAAGTGAATTCACTTAACACTTCCCCCACTGACTTGTTGGAAGCCAGCTGGGAAGGTGACAAATGGTGATCACATGACTCTGGGAGAGTGCGGTTATCATAAATACACGCCAGTTGCCAAGTATCCGAATTTGGATTATGTGACCTTGGGGAGGCTGCAACGTAAGTGTGAAAACTGGTGTCAACGCTGCTAACATCGGATGTTTTTGCTTTGACAACAGTTAGAGATGCAACCATTTTCTTTTTATGTTTTACTTTTAGAGTTAGATGATGCTGGGGGGGAGGGGAGGAATGTGCATGAGAGTTTAGATCAGTGGTTCTCAACCTTTTTAATGCCGCGACCCCAACCGGTCGTAAGTCGAGGACTAAACCGGTCTTACGTCGAGGACTAAACCGGCTGTAAGTCGAGGACTACCCAACCGGTCGTAAGTCGAGGACTTTCCCTGTCTGGGAGCGCCGCGCATGCGTGGTTCCGCCCCCTGCGCCGGCCGAGGCGTAGCTGGCAAGCGGCAGAGACGGAGCAGGCCAACCACCAGCTGGCCCAGCCCAAGGGAGGTAAGGCACCCGCCGGAAAAGGGGAAAAAAATGGCGGACAGCCTTGCTTGGCGACCCCCGTGAAATGGTCGATCGACCCCAAATGGGGTCCCGACCCACAGGTTGAGAACCACTGGTTTAGATAGACATAATAATACTGGACTTAGTGTGAGAACCAAGGTTAATGAAATAAGAGATGATAAGAATTGGCCAGGCTGGAGAACTGGAGGGAAAGCCTGCATTTCAAACTAATTGGAGAATGTGATTTATGACAGTTAATTGGAAGAGGGAATTGTGCTTTGATACTATGTGCTCAGGGGAGGGGAATCTAGTTTTTGGCTTCGACTGTGTTAGTGCCGAAACAATGCCTCAAAGTTCTTTGAAGAGTTTCATTTGTCGGAACCATGACAGCTGGCTGTAAGTTACTTGTTCAGTGCTGCTATAACCTCAATCAGTCCGTAAATGAATGGTTGTAAGTTGATGACTTCCTGTAATCTGTAAACCACGTTTTATGGCTTAGAAGCCACCTTCTACGATTTTGCCAACAAAACAGGGTTAAAGCAAACCATGGCATAGAATTCACGGACCCAGCTCCTGTATTTTAAGAAAACAGGATTCCTGGCTTGCTGCATGCAAGTAAGAACAGGACACCCTTTTTAAAAATATAGCATCTAGTTCAGCGGCTCCCAACCTTTTCTATACCCCGCACCCCTAGAATGCTTCTGATATATTCTCACACCCCTTACAAAAGTTCGAAATAACGGCAATGAATTGTGCATATACACTATAATTTTGAAAACCCAAGTTTTCGCACGCCCTGGAACATTGTCTCGTACCTCCGGTTGGGAACCCCTGATCTAGTTGAACCTTTCTCTTGTGTTAAGGTAATGATTTAGAAGCTAACCAGCTTGTATAATGTGAGATGAATGATGCAATGTTAGGAATGACTCAGCAGGTGTGTGTATCCCTTTAAGAGCTTGAGTATAAAAGGGAAGTCTTTCTCTCTCGTCCGTTTCCTGTAATTGCTGTTTATTGGAGTTCGCTGTTTCACCACGTGTATGTATCTCGTTTCTAGTGTATATTTGTAGATAGTGTGTAATATAAACCACCATTTGATACAAACCACTGTTTACTGTATTTACTCCTGGGTTACCTCAGCGCAATAAGCTCTGACATCTTGGTCCCAATCTGGAGATAGCACATTAAGTTTTGATACATCTTATTTCTTTCTAGCCCTTGATTGGTGGAAACCGAAGAAGTTACCTGGCTTAGGTCCCTGCTCCAAAGCGCACACCTTATTTTAAGCTAGGAAAGGGTCTCTGGAATTCATTTGAAAGGTGATGTCAGAAAATCAAACGTACCTAATGATTTGTCCTTCATCTCCTGGAGTGGCAGGTCTTAAACCTAAGACTATATGGCACACCTAGAAAAAAAAAGAGATGGGAGTGAAAAAGAGAAGGTGAGAGAATTTACTTGTGCCAGACAAAATCACACAAAGTTAATAAGTTATTCTTCTCGGTCAGATAACGTTTGAACATCTATTTTGTATTGGAAGTCCTCGACTTGCGACCACAGTTGAGCCCAACATTTCTGTTGCTAAGCGAGAGAGTTGTTGAGTGAGTTTTGCCCCATTTTACCACCTTTCCTGCCACAGGTGTTAAATGAATCCCTGCGGTTGCTAAGTGAGTAACACGGTTGTTAAGTGAATCTGGCTTCCCCAATGGACTTTGCTTGTCAAAAGGTTGCAAAAGATGATCACATGACCCCGGGAACACTGCAGCCGTCATAAATATAAGCCAGTTGCCAAGTTTCTGAATTTTGATCAGGTGACCCTAGGGATGCTACAACGGTCCTAAGTGTGAAAATCAGTCGTAAGTCACTTTTTTCAGTGTTGTTGTAATTTCAAATGGTCACTAAATTGTAAGTCGAGAACTACCTGCAAAAGATAATTTTCCTATTCAAAGTAAACAACTGAGGCCACAGGCAGCTGGAAACATCTGGCCAGAATGAAGCTATCGCAGATAACTCAATTCAGACATTGTGCCAAACCAAGTTTCTGCTTCCAGAATCAAATCATCATTTCAGGGCTGCTTTCGTTCCCCATCCTTATCTGTATGCTAAATGTCTCTCTATTGCAGCCTTCTCTGTCATACTGGATTTATCCCCTGCCAACTTCATTTAGTACACTGAATGCATACGCTAGCTGTGGTGTGTAAGAATTCCGGCATCTGAAGCTGCAGCTCAGCACATACATGCGTCGCCTCATTCTACGAGCAGGACGTAACGCTTGGCAAAAGGGCTGCCCAACCCAGTTTGAGAGAGCAGGTAAGAATGATGCCGCTGAACGCCTCCACCTTCTTGTTCGTCTTGCAGAATATCTTTTTCCCCACTCAAAACAACAGAATTTTGCTTTAAGGTCTTCTAAAACACCACAATGTGAGCCAACTGTGCTGGGCACTGTTATAATTCTTTTGATCATTCTTACAACTAAACAAATAGTTGTAAGTTGAGGAGTTATCTGCATTATTTTATTCCTCTCTCTCTCTTTCCCTCCCTCCCTTCCTTTCTCTTTTTCCATCCACCTCCTTCCCTCCCTCCCTCCCTCCTCCCCTTACCTACCCCCTCTCTCCATCTTTCTCCTTCTCTCCCTCCCTTCTTCTCCCTTCTTCTCCCCCTACCTATCTCCCTCCCTCTCTCCTCCACTTACCTACCCCCTTTCTCCTTCTTTCTCTCTCTCCCTCCCTACTTCTCTCCCATCCCCCTCCCTCTCCTCCACTTACCTACCCCCTCTCCCTCCCACCCTCTCCCCTTCTCTCCTTCTCCCTCCCTACTTCTCTCCCTCTATCTCCCTCCCTCTCTCCTCCTCATACCTACCCCATCTCTCCCTCCCTTTCTCCTTTCTCTCCCCCATCTATCTCCCTCCCTCCCTCTATCTCCCCCTCCCTCCCTACCTCAAAATGGCAAACCTATGCACCAGTGCACACCAGCCCACTGCTTGTGTGGCCCAGTTGTCCTTCCCCCCTGCCCCACTGGGCCACCAAGCAGCAAAGGTTGGACTACCACCTAGAACTAAGCAACCTAGAACTAAGGAGAAACTTCCTGACAGTGAGAACAATTAACCAGTGGAACAACCTGCCTCCAGAAGTGGTGAATGCTCCAACACTGGAAGTCTTTAAGAAGAGACTGGACAGCCATTTGTCCGAAATGGTATAGGGTTTCCTGCCTGAGCAGGGGGTTGGACTAGAAGACCTCCAAGGCCCCTTCCAACTCTATTATTATTATTATTATTATTATTATTATTATTATTATTATTATTATTATTATTATTATTATTACTACTACTACTACTACTACTACTACTACTACTACTACTATTACTACTATTACTATTATTGTTACTATTGTTACTATTGTTACTATTGTTATTATCTTAACCACTTTACCAAGCCGGCTGATGTTAGTCAGGCAAAAGAAGCACCTCTGCAAAGCTCACACTTCCAAAAAAACAACTCCAAAACCCAAAAACAAAAAACCAGGCGTCCCCAGGAATGCAACTGACATAAGAGCTGATGCAGCATTTGGCATTCCGTGACTGCAAAGCAGGCAGCCAAATCCAAGGCCTGCCTTCCACGGGAGGTTTGGGCTTGCAGGAAAAGTACCTGAAAAAGCAGATTCAGGAATTCGTTGGCAAGAGCACTCTTCACACTCCAGATCTGATAATCCTCAAGGGTGAGATGACCAAGCTGAAGTGGAGGAGGAAGGAAGGAAAATCAATGGTTTGTTTTTTTTACCCCAAATGTTTGGCTCAATGCTTTCTCTCTATCCTTTCCTCCCTCCCTCCCTCCCTCCCTCCCTCCCTCCCTCTCTCTCTCTCTCTCTCACACACACACACC